CTGAGCAAGCTAGTGGAGACTCAACTCAGCTGCATTTGTCTTCAATCAAATGAGTAGAAAAGCATTGGTCTAAGCACATAGCTGACATAAATAGGCAAATGCAGAATAAAGAATAAATCCATTTCCAGAACAAATTAGAAAATCTAGCTCCTGGTTTAGTGTTTGCTGCCACCAGACCCCCAACTCTATCCTTAGATGCTCACCGCAGATGACACTCACATTGTTGTCGGGTGTGCGGTTCTGTCACAGTATCTCAGATCACATTTCCCAGTGTTTTAGAACATGCTCTTGATCCTTTAAAATGTACTATTTCTATCATATTATTATTATTAGTTTATGTGTATAAACATGTTCGCATGTATGTCTGTGCACCACATGTATGCAATGCCCAGAGAGGCCAGAAGAGGGTGTCAGATCCCCTTGGACAGGAGTTACAAAAGGTTGTCAACTGTCATGGGGGTGCTGGGAATCAAACCCTGTTCCTGTCGAAGAGCAGCAAGTCCTCTTGACCACAGAGCCATCTCTCTAGCCCCGTGTTCTTTGTCTTAAATTGCCTTTCATAACTACCCTGCCCTGGGGATTAGACAGGAATAGTTAACTACACTCTCTGGATGAAAAGTTAGAGCTTAGAAGTTAACTATTTTCTAATAATCAGCCAGTGAATGAGAGGGGAGCAGGAGCCAGCCCTGGCTTTTATCCAGATTCAGTCTTCCGGCAGAGATTAAGAAAACGGAAGTCAGCAAGATGGAGCAACACAGAGCAGGTCGCAGCAACACTGGCCGGCCTGGTGACTGCAGGTTTCTCCAGCACACTGACCTGGAACTCTACCTGAGCCATTTCACCCCAGCTGCTCAGCCTGTGGTCACCAGACACTTCAACCAACCACCCCAAGCCTCCTTTCCAGCAAGAGGCTCTGACCCAGGCTGCCTTCCTGCAAGGGTGGGGGTGGGGCTGGGGATCCGGAGCGGGCTGCTGCTCCCACAGCCTCACAGCAGTGCAGAGAATACATGCAAGCTCCGTCTCTTCCCCTTTTCCTTTTCCGTATTAATTTTACGTATCCTTGAGATCCCCACCACCACCACCACCACCCACCCGTCAAAGTGTAGTTTCAAGGGCAATTTCCCGACACAGTGCTAGGTTAATTTTCAGTATGTTCTCTCATATCACTTTTTACTTTCTCCAGTTACTAATTCATAGTGACTCAGACATTACCTCACTCAGGTCTGCCTCCTCCGTTATGTGGAGAATACATGAGGAGGGGAACTGTGTTCCTTTTGCTCATATCATGTCACCTGTGCCTCAAATGGTGGCACTCAGCAAATGCCAGGTTGTTAATGGGAACCCTTCTGCCCTTGTCATGGGAGGCAGTCTAGCTGTCCCCTGGGTAGACAGTAGAGGACTTCTCCAAGCATCCAACCTGTGTGGATTCCCTTGGCAACTCTAGATGACACACTACTGCTTTCACCAGCCCTACACCAAGCCCCCAGAAGTGACCATAGGACCACGGCATTCCCATCCTCTGAGTAGCCCTCGGAGACGCTTCCAGGAAAGCACCATGTGCCACCATCATACTAGAGCTACATCTCACATTGTGGCCTGCGGGGACATTATTCCTCACCTCCTCACACTGAGGGTCCTGTGGTAGATCTGCTCCTAGGGGGCAGCTGCAACCAAGTCAGCCAAGAGAAGCTACCACTCCCAAGATGCCTCACTCCTTCCACAACAGAATTCAGCCAGTTCTACTCATTGCCTTTAGGAAACCTGCTGCTTGTCTGCTAATTTAAAAGGTAAGGCAATTAAAATGTCTCTGCAGGTTCAAAATCAAGATAAATTCTAAAAAGGCCAATGACTAGCAACCCATGAGCAGACACTTGGTTTCCCCTTTTCCTTCCTTTTTCTGGTCCGTTCTCTTCTTCCCTCCCTCTTTTTTTCTTTTCTTCCCCCTCTCTCTTTTCTTTCCTCTCTCTCTTTCCTTTTCTCTCCTTTGGAAGAGTTACTTGGGCAAAGTTTGAAAAGCTGCACCCAACTGTCTGGGTTTTCCCGGCTTGGCCTTGGAGAAGCAGCTTCTGTCACTCAAGCTTGGCTCAATAGGGTGAGATTCTAGGCAACAAAATCACCAAGTGCAAATGACCCACTTCTTCAGAAAACAGACATAAAGACGGTGTTTCTTTTAATCTAGTTTAAGCTTACTTAACCCCTAAGCCTTTGCCAGTTGGCCAGCAGTCCTGGAGAAAACACTTTCGCAGAGAGGCTGCAACTAACAAATCCATCAATGAATCACTTTGTTATATGGATAACTACCTTCAATTACATCAATTTTGTTTGCTGAGCCTTTGCAAAAACACAAATTCGTGTACTTACAAGTCTCTTCATTATGAAATTAACTAGGTCTCACCTGCCTCTCTGTACCATTGCCAATAATCACACAGGGAGAGCACAGGAGGCCACGCCCCTTTGTCCTTGCTGTCATTGCAAGATGTGTAGCCATTGTACAGTTTGGGCATTCTGGTGGTATTTGGAGGAAACCTGCCACCACTCCTTGGAACTGCAGCATCTCCTGGATGAAGGGCTCATCTCATAGAACCCAGGAAAGGCCATTCCACCCTCAAGCCCAGAAACACATGCAGTATTTCTGGAGAATGCTTACTCCACACTAGTAGGTTTGGGTGAGAGAAAAATGATGAAGATGATGATGAAATTGATATTGTGGCCAGATACCTTGCTAGATTAATAGACTTTGAATATAAGGCTGGTGGGTTTGAACTTTGTTCAACACTAGAAGGCCCCAGAAATGTGTGCAAAGGGTAGCTAACCCACACATTCATAAGGTTCACCTCAGCCAGCTTCTACACAAGAGCAGTTAGGTATACTTTATTTTTTTAGCACACCCTGAGTGTCAAGCTGAGAGTGAGTTTCTCTAGGTTTAAGTAGCTTCCATTAACGATCGTGGGCCCTTTAAACACACAACATGGTGAAGCCATTAAAGAAGAAATCAATTGAAAGTTAATGCAGCTGCATTATGGGATGTGGGATGGCCCTTCACCATCAATGATTGCATACTTGCAAAAAGTGCAGCATAATAGGCAGGCCAGCAAGTGTTTGCACCTTTATTATAAGAAATTTGTGAAGCAATTAGCTGTGGAAATGTGACCTCTTATAGGCAATATCTTTGCCCCGGACATATCAAACTCCTCTTTCCATTTAAGTTTGGATAATGTGTATATATATATGTGTGTGTGTATATATATATATATATATTACTCTAATCCGCAAGGAGTTGATTGTTTCCTTGAAACAGAGTTTTTTTTAAGCTTATAATTTAGAGAATTAATTTGCAATCAAGTCTGCATTTCCTCAAAGTGTGTTAAGAGTCTTCCCCAATGGTGATTTTAAACTCAGCTACATGTTTTTTCCACTTAACACCTGAGCAAGTCTGAACAATGCTACCATTTAATTAGGTGTGTTCTTTTCCAATGCACACCCTGATAAACCGCTTGCCAGGCTCGGCATAACTGGCTAGGAATAGCTACCTTTCTGGCCACTGCTGCGCTGCATTAGCTATGAGGGTTATACAATATGAAAGGGCTGTGACCAGAGTTTCTCATGGAGACAGAGGATGGGAAGGAGGTGACGGGCCACTTGGCCAGTCTGACAATGGAGAAGCCATGGTTCCCAGTTTCCTATCTGGCTCTTATTCTCCTAGCCTTCCTTCACAAGACAGATTGATATGTGTGTTATGAGTTATGCAAGCGTATTCCAGTTGAGGACCTGGAATTGCAAAGCTGTAGTAAGAGAAAAAGAATGAAAGAGATATACAGCAGCTTTTGATGGGATCTGTGGTCATTTCATCTTAGTTTTTCTATTTTGAATTACATGGTTACAGATCCCTACCAAGATTATTTTCTTATTCTTTTTATTCTTTCTCTTTCTTTTGTTTTTAAACTGGCACGATGGTTTTAAAAGACACCTCTGTTCTTGAAAATTGAAAGGATCCATGTCCTAAAGGAAACAAGAGATCAAACGTCTTGTTAGGAATGAGGCAGTCAGCTCAGTAAGTATTGGGTTGCTGGAAACTGATCGTGTGCTTGGATTCTTCAGGACCCGAGTCTTTCTGTAATTACAGAAAAAAGTTACTTTGAAACCAGTGTGCTGGGCGGGTCTTTAGTTAATGGCATCTCAAAGGAATTCAACCCTGCATAGGCATCAGGGGCTGTGTTATTTGCAGGCCTGCCTATCTCCCCTCTTATTTCTAACTAGATCTTTGGTAGACGGTTTATGTCAGTAGTCAAGTCACTTGTTTCACCATTGAGAGTCACAAACACAAGGAAATCAACTGTTTTCAAAGAGAGCTTGTTTGTTCAAGGCCAAAAATTCGGGATGGTGGGGGGAAAGGATTGCATTTCTTTTGGCTTAATTTATTACAAAATCCCCATAGAAAGTAATGTGTCTCCTGGCAAATAGGCACAAATGGTGTGTCAAAGTTACAGAATCAACTTTGCTGAATGAATCTGGAAGAGAATCATTAATAAGATGGGAGATTAGGTATTCAAAAATAAAGTTGTTTTAGGGAGGTGGAAAAGGAGGGCTCAGAAATGGAAAGCCAGGAAGGAAAGCTGGAAGAAAATAGCCTGTCCAGAGGCAGCATACATGTGCAATTGTGACTATGGCCGGAAGGGACTTTATTTCTAGCCTTTACAAGAGAAATGTGTACCATTGATGCAGGTAATTCCACCAGTCCTTAATTGATGTAAAATAAAATTGTGAATATTTAGGGTGCATTCACTGAGCACACACTGAGGAATCACTATATATTCAAAATGTTTTGTTAGACCTTCTCCGTACATGACTATGAACCTTGGGAAACTGAAACAGGAGGGATTACAAGTATGAGACCATCCTGAACTGCACAGTGAGACTATATCTCAAAAAAAAAGAAAAACAAAACAAAACAAAATAGCAACCAACCAAAACCAAACAAAATAAAACCAGAGACAGAGTAGTCATTCTTCTTTTTTTATTTACTATTTTTATAAATCTTATGTATTACTTATTTTAAAATATCTGTGTAGTATATATTAAACATATCCTCTTGTTCTCCCTCCTTTCTTTATTTGACAGTTTCCTGTTAGTCCCCTGTCCTCCCCTAGACAGTATTATTTCTATCTGCCTTTACTGTACATATATATATATATGTGTGTGTGTATAAAATTTATACTATTTACAAATCATTATTCTTAATAGTTCCTAGTACCCAATACTATATTTTAGTAGAGTCTGGGTCCTATCATTGATATATGAAAAAATATTCTTAGGTTTACTAATAGAGAAATTTGGAGAAAAATGAGTTTGAGATATTTTCGGTTCTCTAGAGTATTTTAACAGATCAAAGAGTATGATCATGTGATTTGAGGAAAGTATGTCAGGGTTGATCACCTCAGCTCTCACAGTAAGAACCTCCAATGGTGACAGGGAAACTGGATCTTTCTCCCCTCGCTACTCAGTTGAGCTCTACTCCCCTGCTGTCATGCTCTTCTTCCAAGACCAAACTTCACACATCTGCCCATAAATCCCCTCTTCCTTCCTTATTAAACACCCAGTCCTTAAATTTCTCAATACTAGCGTTTCTCTGTCAAGAGGAAACTTTCAGGCAGGTGTTGGTCGACCAGATAGCTGAGTTATTAAGTGCTTACTGCATGAACAAGAGTATCTGAGCTCATCCTTGCCATTCATGTAAAACATTGTGCAGATAATAGGGTGGGTGACAAAGACAGGAGCATCCCAGGGGCCTGCCACCTAGCCACATTCATGAGCCCCAGAGACACTTGCTGGACAGCTAGCCTAGCCGAATCAGTGAGGCCCGGATTCCAGGTGGAAAGCTGCTAGGAATGATGTCCAACATTGACCTCTGGCCTCCATGCATATAAACACATTTGTATGTTTGCATCTGCATACACTCATGCACCCACAAATATGTACATACACACGCATGAACATTCCAGTTTTTTAAAGTTTCGTTTAAACTTTTTCTGACATTTTCTGAGAGGAATGAACAGCACTAAACTACATTTGAAAGTTTACATTTTAATTTGTTAAAGGTAGCACTTTCTAGACCATTTCTTTCCTAGTTCCAAACTTTAAACAACATTTTGAAGTCAATGAAAGCCTGGCTCCCCTGGCATCTCTCCATCAGAGGTTCCTCTAGTTGACACAGAGACCTTAGTGGCAGCCTTGGGTCATTATTTCTAAGATGTGTCTTGAAGGATGCTGCTAACTTACAGTATCCCAGACCTTGTTTTTGTGGTCTTCAGTGAGCCTGAACACAGGGATGTCCCATTGTGACTGGTCGCCTCATCCCCTGGTGGTGTCTTAGTCCCTTTTTGTTTCTGTCTGCAGCATGAACAGTAAGATCTTGAGTGTGGACTTCCTTCTTTCACTGGGCTGTCTGAAGGCAGAATAGAGAACAAGGAAACCTCAAAATCTATTTAAAGGTACCACAGACAAGGGTTCTATGGGCTAAAAACCTTTTTTCTCCATATTTGTGTTAGTCAGTCTACAGCCAGACCCTACATATGTTCACATTCCATCCCTGCTCACTGGCTAGAAAATTAGGTCTATCCCTCTTGTGTGGGTTGAATAAGGAGACTGGGAACCCAGGAATCCTCATGGATAGACCACTGAATAGGATTCTGTTCACTGGTCTTGGACTGTCTCTGCTAGCAATAGAGAGGACTCAGATATATTAGGATTCCCTGGTTCCTCTAGAATTCAATTCCTCCCAGATTCCAAATTCCTCTACCTGCTTTTACATCCAACCCAGCAAGAGTCTAAGAACTATAAACAGTTCTTATTTAACCTTTTTTCTCTTTGAGGATAACACAGCTTATAAATCTTCTAGGCAGCCAGAGTCTGGAGAGAAAGGACCATCTGCCTGAATGCACACTCAGGCAGCCACTCCTGGGTGCAGAGAATTTGAACACATATCATCCTACACACAGTTGCTTACACTCTTTACACAGGACTTGTATTTGATGCTCTCCTTCTTGCCACAGCAAGCTATGTCACAAGAGCAACTTGAGGAATGAGGGGTTTTGTTTTAGCTCACAACTCAAGGATACAGTCTATCATGGCAGGGAAATCATGGCTCTGTCATGGCAGCAGGGGCTTAAGGCAGCACATTTGCCCTCAAGGAAAAGCAACGATGCTAGTGTTCAGCTTCCTCTTCCCCTGTTATTTCAGTGCAGGTCCCAGCCCATGGTGTGGTGGCCCCACAGTTAAAATGAGTTTTCCCACCCCAACCCCCCTAATCTAGACAATTGCCCACAGACATGCCCAGAGACATTGTCTGTGATCCTTGTTTCTGTGACGTTGACAATATTAACAATCACAGGACACATTTCTAAAGTGTCAACACAGGACACTTGCCAATGTATCTAGAATTTATTTATCTTTGAGACAGGGTCTCACTGCATAGTCCAGGCTGGCCTTGAACTAGCAATTTTCCCATCTCAGTCTTCTAAGTGCTGGAATTACAGGTGTTATTCATTTAGAGAATTTTATTTTTAAAAAAAAAGCATTTCAACCTCACAAATCTAAAATTATAATTAAAATATCTTTCCCCATTAAAAAAAAAAGCAGATCAATGCTACCTGTGCCTTTGAGGGGGTCTATTCCAGTAGACATGATTTTTCTGATCTTGCAAAATCATAAATTCAGTACAGCCATCATCAACACCATAAATGTTATCATCCGAAGTCATAAAATTAAAGCAGGGCATGAGGGAGCCATTAAGCCAGTGAGCTTTGCAAACATTGACTCCCCCGTGTGCCTGGATGGGAGAACCTAGGGGAAGTGGAAGCCATGCTGGGCTGCCTCTCTTCAAAACAGCTGAATTAGTGGGCGGACTGAGAACCACCTGCTGAGCTGTGTTTGCATTCTGCTTTGCCTGGTGTAGCTTTGTGGTCCCCAGCAAACCCCATGCACTTCATCAGATCTCTGCAACCTCATGGATTACAGTGTCTGTCTCCTTTAATGACTCTGTCTGAGGAATACATAAGATGGTACGGGAGACATTTGATAATCTCAGAAAGCAAACGTGCTTCTTCTACAGACATCTAATTGACAGACCCAGCCTTTCTTGAGAGGGAACAAGGTATGATTTGAATGTAGACCAGGCCTGGGCCTGTCACCCCGCAGATAACTTCCTGCCCCTTTCTTTCTGTGTATGGGGTGTGTACAAGTTTGTGTGGGTGTGTGCAGGTTTTCCTGTGGGTGTGTGCAGGTATATACCTGAATGTGCAATTAAGGGGTGGATGTTAGATGCCCTCCTCATTCACACTCCGCCAGATTTTGGAGACATGGTCTCTCACTACACCTGTGAATCACCAATTCAACTAATCGAGCTGTCCAGTGAGCTCTAGGGAATCCTGCCCCTACCTCGATAAGGCTGAGATGTCAAATCCAAGTCACAAATGCAACGCCATGTTGGGTGTTGAGGGTGGAAATGCAGGTCCTCATGTTCGCACAGCAAGTGGTTTACTCACTGAAGCTTCTCCCCAGATCTCCTTCCTTCTTTCTTCCCATTCAGTTGACTCGGGGCAAGGAGGACGCTGGCTGGGAAAGTGACAGGAAAGAAAAAAAAAAAACCAGTAAATTTCTGCTCTCTGCCCACCCCTGCAGTCTAAGGGTAGGTCTGCTCTGCTGTGTTTGACCTCTGAAGTGCCTCCCAGTCTCCTTTTAGATTCTCGACTCTTCTCTCATGTGCAGAGACAGCTTTTTCCTGAACCTGTGTTTTCCTTCTCTGCTCTCTCCTCCACCTCATCCACTCTGTCTCCTCCCTCTTCCTTATCATCTTCTTTCTTTTGTGTTTTCACTTAAGTCTTGCTTTCATAAAGACTGTAAGTGACTTCTGTTCTCCTTATGGGCCTTGACAGATACCAGAGTATTAAGAAGACTTCTCAGCAAAAGAACTGTCCTGATACTGGAATACTCTCAGAAACCCTTTTCTTTTGAAGGGGGAAAATACTAATATAAAATACTACATAATAGCATTTTTCAAGCTCCTACTTTCTGCTCCATCCTACCTACTCATCTGTCCACACACCCAGCACCTGTCCATCTACCATCATCAACTTTTGAGTGTGGGGAGGGGAGATTAACTGCTGAGCACACCTGAATAAACTAGACCCACAAAAGACAGCACAGGGGAACCAAAGGACACTGTGTTCAAATCCTGTGAAGGCCAAGGGACATTTGCTTGGGAGACAAAGGTGCTTGGGTTCCTAGTCAGCTTTGGCACACAGAATCAATGACTCTTTGTTATTCTTTCTCCTGACTCCTACATTCCACCTCAATGGTAAACTGAGGCAACCGGAAAAGAAGAAGACATGAAAAGAAATGTTATAACCACCCCACAGATGCAGCCCTGCAGCTCAGAACTGTCACCTGCCCGTGTGGAGCAGCTAATATAGAGTTGACGAGCAGAGTTTGTCTTGTTAATGGATTGTGCTAAATGCAGAGTTGACGAGCAGAGTTTGTCTTGTTAATGGATTGTGCTGTCCCACTAAGTCACTAGACCCAGGCCTGCAAGGGTCTGAGAGGAGAGAATAAAAGAAAGTGGGGAACCTCAGCTTTGCTCCCTTCTTCTCCCATACCCACCCCTCAGCCACAAACATACTCACCAAATTATTTCTCTGAATCCTGCATCTTTATAGAAGGATTGGTACCAACTCGCAGGATCCACAGAAACCACAGATATGTTACAGCCTTCTGGCCTCCTAGAGGAGTATGGTCTAAAACTCTGAATCAGCTCATGAAGTCAACTGTAGACAATGTAATAGTTCCCATTCATACTTATTGATGATATATATATATATCATCAGTATATATATATATCATCAGTATATATATACATATATATATATATATATATGAGAGATACTACCAAGGGCAATTAATAAGATAGAACAATTCTAACAATTTAGTGTAAGAGAAGGGCTAAGTAACACTACTCTTACTTCAGAGCCACCAGTAAGTGAAGTAAGGTTCACTGGAACACAAGCATTGTGATACTACAGCAAATTCATCTGATGCATGAGACAGCTACTAGTGATTAATAGTATGTGCTGGCTAGTTTAAATCAACTTAACACAAGCTAGAGTCACCAGAGAGGAGGGAACCTCAACGGATGAAATGCCTCCATAAGATCTGGCTATAGGCAAGCCCGTAGGGCATTTTTTAAATTCGTGATCCGTGGGGGGAGAACCCAACCTATTGTGGATGGGACTACCCCTATTCTGATGGTCCTGGATGCTGTAAGAAAGCTGACTAGGCAAGCTGGTAGTCAGCATCCCTCCATGGCCTCTGCATCAATACCTGCCTCCAGGTTCCTGTCCTGCTTGAGTCCCTGCCCTGACTTCCTCCAGTGATGAATAGTGATGTGTAACTGTAAGCCAAATAAGCTCTGTCCTCCCCACTTTGTTCCCAGTCACGGAGTAGCATCACAGCAATAGTAGCTCTAACTAGGGCAGTAGATACACTGGACATGGAGTGACCGGCATCCCAAGGGACACCAAGCATGATGTCTCGGGTTCATTATGATAGTCAGAATGGTGGACAAATTCAAACATAAATTTCTTGGAGTACCACAAGAGTTCGTAAAATGTGGCATACTCCAAAGAAGTGTTGCCACTCACATCTGTTGCAAACAGCGTAGGAGTAGGGGTAGGGAAGGTTTGCTCTGAGTTCCAGATATCAGGGAGGTCCTGATCAAGCCTCCTTAGGACAGGTGTCCGGTCTATGAAAGGAATCCAGCGCCTGTCCTAGGGACCTCCAATGTTATTACAGGACTGCTTTGAAGATGGAGACACTTATTTCAGTCCCATGGCAAATCCACCATGTAAATGTATTTCAAGCATAGCTCAGGCCCAGAGCTCTAGGGATGCAGTTAAGTTATAAAACAGAACATAAAGTCTATGTTATAGAGGAAGCTGTAACGATGACTGTCCTTACTGTATACATTTGCACTTAGTATCAAATATTTTCTGTAATTTTTCACAACTATATATCCCTTGAACATTCAACGACAGTAATAGCCAATGCGTACTCAGTGTTTGGTAAATGCAAGGTAATCTCCTAAGGTTCGGAGTCCACGGTTTTATTTAAATCTCCTGCACAATTCCATGGGGGTAGACCTTACCGTCGGCACCACTTTATAGATGAGGGAACTGAGGTACAGAGAAATCAACTAATTCCCTCAAAGCCACACAGGTTGTGAGCTGAAGGTTTTAGGAAGGAGTGAAGGGTACACATGCGTGCACCTTCCTAAGCCTGATGAAGCTCTGGGCACGTCTGACACACCTTTTGAAAGGTGCCGAGTATCAAGGACATCACCTCGAAGGCACCTTTGATTGAGGTCTTGGTTTTATTGTCCTACCATATCGGCGCCTTTAAACATCTAGCTGTCGCAAAGGTCTCTGCCTCCTTTTCCACTTTTGCTTTCTCTGATCAAAGGTCATCCGGTATGTTAACTGGGGTGATGGAGGTACCGATGCCTGGAACCGGGTAAGCGTCTTTCTCCCACTTTTTAGTGTTGCAACCTCACAAGCTTCAGAGGGAAACTCGAGGGTGGATGCAAAGCAATTGCTTTGCGTACGATTTCAGGGCACTCTAGGAAAAGGCCATGTCCAAGGCTTAGCTAAACCTGAACAGCCCATTCCGGGGAGCGGGGGGGGGGGCGAGGGCGATGCGTCTGCGAAAACAGTAGCAGGGATTTAAAAACGAAAAAAAAAAAAAAAGAGCTAAAACTTTTGCCCCTAGAGGCTGTAATTTGACTGCTGTCTTTGGCAAAAGTCCAGAGAGCAAGCTTAATCTCACTCTGAGCTGCCTCCTCCTCTCTGCCGGGTCCGCCCGCAGGGCCCCCAGAGGAGGCGGGCGGGGACCGCGACCCGCGGCGGCGGCCGGAGGAGAGGGGCGGGGCGGGGCGCGCCGGGCGCGGAGTGGGAAAGAGGAAGTGGAGCCGAGCGAGCTGCAGGGCTCGGGGCGGCCGGAGCCGGCGCTGGAGCGCAGCGCACCGCGGAGCCGGCGCTCGGGAGCCGCCCCCTCTCCGGTAAGCGCGGCCAGGACTATTCCAGGGACCGGATAAGGGAAGCCGGGGACCTCGGCCACGAACCCCGAATCTGCAGGTGGGACGGGCAGAGCGCGGTGTCTGATCCTGAGGGGGGTCCCCGATTGCTACACCTGGGAGGGAGTCTGACCGTATCTGGAGGTGCTGCCCGCCGTCCTGAGAGTCCCCAAGTCCCGGCTCAGTTCAGCTCAGCCTAGATCTGCCGGCCCCGTTCTCCAGCCCCTCGCTGCAGCCCCCGCGGCTGCAGTTTGCAGCTCCGTGGTGAAGTTTGCTGAAGCACTGCCGGGTGCCATCCCACCCCTCCACCCCCGAGTCCCGCGGACTGTCTCCAAATAGGACACTCGGGGGGGGCAACACCCCAACAGCGGAGCGGGCGCGAGGACAGGGAGTGTGCTGCGTGCTCCACCTAGGAGCAGCCCTGCGGGGGCAGAAACTCGCGTGGGAGCTCCAGATCAGCAAGACAGCGATTTCAGAAGGGAGCGGGGGAGTTGAGAACCTGTGCCCCATCCGTCCGTCACCCGGACAAACGGTAATACCTAGCGGGCTACAGCTGTGTGGGCTATTGGAGGCGGGGGCCGGGCGGGGGGAGGATGGGGAGACGCAGCGGGCCCCAGGGTGACAGTCAGAGCAGGTCCTCTTATTGTGTCCCAGCGGAGTCTCTCACTGCGGTCAGAAAAGTCAGGACACCCTAAGGAGGGTCGTTGCCTTGCTCGGTTTCACAACGCTCACGGCAAACAATGAGGGGATGATTGCTTTGCATGTGCTGTTTGAAGTTGGTATGTGTAAAGCTGACCGTGTGTGCATCTCTGGAATTTCATTAAACTCTGGTCTGTCCTTAGCGCTCTCTTTGTACCCCCCTCAGGTGGCCCGAGCTATTGCACCTATTTTTGATGCCCCCGGGGAAAGATAGTTTGGCTTGGCGGGACATCAATCTCAGAAAGCTCTGATCTCCGAGGGAGAGTTGTTTTGGGGATTTGAGACTCACAGCATATAAACTGGATATGCACTGGATACAAACCCAGTAGGATGCCAGAATGTTAAGTGTGGGTCACATTTAACGTTTAACTGAATTCCAGGCTTAGATTGCTGTTACCTCTGTAAAACCAGTGGTCAAGGGTTAAAGTTGGCCTATTTGAATTCTCAATTTCTGGAGTTTACATATTTTTAAAGACTAGATGGATTTTTGTTTTGCTTTGTAACTTATAAAAATTTATCTAAGCCTAATCGTGTCAGGGATCTAAAACCTCTCAACTTTAGCCTTGGACTGTGGGACGTGAGAATAAGCCATGCTGGTAGCTTCGACTTCCTCACTGATAAAGCCGTGTGTGTGTGTGTGTGTGTGTGTGTGTGTGTGTGTGTGTGTGTGTGTGTGTGTGTGTGTGAACCAGATATTTTACACTGGCTTCCCTCCTCCCGGTGGAGGATATTTATTTGTTCTACAGCAGCTAACACTTCCATACAAACGTTAGGGGTTGCTGTTTGACCCTTTGACATCTTTGAGTTTGGCTTCCTGACTCTCTACTTAGCTTTTTGTCCCCTTGGGATCCCACCATGTCCAAGGCACTAAAACCAACCAGGAAGAGACTTTCTTCTCCAGAGTTGACTGACCTCCCTGCCTTCTCCTCAAATGGGTCCCCACCAGCAATCCTTGGGTGACCTTCCTTTCATTTCCTTTGCATGGCAGATTCCCCCAAAGCCCTCTGTAAAAGGACTAAGCAAAGTGAAAATGAGCAGCTGTTTGGTAGTCAAATCCGTGCCCTCAATCTGCCTTTCTTTGGTAGAATTTGTCTGCTCTTCTCCTTTTCCTGCAAGTTCACTTTTTTCAATGCCCTTTAGTATAGAAGATTGTTACAAAAAAGATACCTTTTAAACCTTCTGTGGGAGATTCCAGCTGTCATTCCAAGAGGCTAAATGATCACATTGTAACCCGTAAAAGTTGCAAGCAGCCTAATTTTTCAAAACCAAAGGCAAACAGTAGTCTTTACTCTCCTGCTTTGTGATTATTTCTTTTGGTGATTTAATTCAGTTTTACTAGTTTGTATTCTGACGTGAAAAAAATGGGGGGGGGGAAGCCCTGTGAAACCACAGTCTTTTGAGTCTTTAGTAAACTAAAAACAGTTTCTGATCTACACTTCTACTCTCAGTGCTGCAAAACCGCCCCCCCTGCCCCCCTTGTGGGTTTCTGTTCCTTTTACTGTTGATAGTTGGGTCTTTCAAACAATTGTCACCTTGTAATCCTGCAGCAGAGGTGATTAGATCTCTAGGTTATTCAAGCAGGATGGCTCTGGGATGCTGTGGCCCAGGCTCTGTGCTTCAGAGATTTAAAACGATTAGGGGCAAGTATTCTAGGATTAGTCCTTGAATATGAAGTTCCCCTCCATACCGGTGAGCTTGAAGACCAGGACCCTGCTAAAGGAATTGTTCTGACCTGACCTGAATGATTTTACAACTAGGGAAAGTAGCATTTACATTAGATCATTCTTTGGTTTTACTCATTTTTACTCCCCCCCCCCCCATATATTTCAGAAAGAATGACCCTTAGCTCCAGAGCTGAACTCAGGATTGAATGAAGTAATCCATATTAAATCTTCGGCACATATGGTGTGCTTTGAAGATGGTAGTTGCTGAAAAGCCGATCTCTGGAGGGAGGGGTTTTGCTGGAGGTAATCCACACTTTCCACTGTCAAAACTGTGGTTGAACTCTGCTGTGACTGACCCCTGGCCCTCCACTGCCTCAACGGGATGGTTGCATGGAGACAAATTTTCATATTTATAGACTATTTATCTATTTCTTTTGGGGGTTTTATCTTCACTTTTCTTCAGAGGGGTCTTACTGTGGAGTCCAGACTGGCCTTGAACTCACAATTCTCCCACCTTTGCTGGGATTACAAGTGAGCATCACCATGCCAGGCCGTGGTTCACTCTTTAAGAAAAACAAAGCAAACCAAAACCAAAACCCATTCGTCTTTTGACATAGAAAAATGCATGGTTTCTATTGCAAAGTATTTACATATTTGAGCACAAATGGGGGGGTGGCCTTTTAAAGGCAGTCTCTCTAAGTAGCCTTAGACTTAGGGGTAGCAGGCATCTGAGAGATTCATGGTCTATCCCAGGCCTGCATCAATCTTGCTTGATGAAATGAAAAGTTGACCCCAATCCATTGACCCATTCAGAGTCATGGGCAGCTGTGCCAAGTAGAAGTCACTGGCAGAAGAGGGAGCCCCCATGATTAGGATCTGGCTGACTGCATAGCAAGCAATGGATGCCATAGAGAGGATGTGAGGCCTGCCTGCTGGAAGTGGGCCTTGATTCAACGCTGAAAGGCTTGGCCCTGGGGAACCTAAATACTGCAGAACATCATCAGATGTGCCTAGCTAACCCCCTTGCCAGTGACTAGGAGTTCGGTGGAACTCTAGAATAGCTCTCATGGTGGACTCTGAGTGTCTGAGTATTCAGCTGGTGGATATATGTTCCTGAATCTTTTGTTTCCCAATGAGCTGTATAGCAAGTAAACATTTCCAGACCACAGCATCTTCCTTGGGTGAGCAGAGTCTGCCTCTGTACCTGTGCATTCTGCGATCCTGACTAAACTAGCTGTTCACTGAAAGAATTGGACTTTATTTCCAAAATACCTAGGGCCAAAATGACTTTGTAGCATTAGTATTATAAGTAATCTAAATTAAGACATGTGAGATTTAAAGTATATAGGGAACTAGAGATGGACTGGTGGTTAAGGGTACTTGCTCCTATTGCACAGAACTAGAGATGGGCTCCCAGCACCCACATCTATCTGGTGGGTTGTAACTTCAGACTCAGGGAATCTCACACTCCTTTCTGGCCTCCTCTGGCCCATGTGCATGCAAACACACACACACACACACACACACACACACACACACACACACACACACCTGAAGTATCTAGGTGGCATTGAAGATACTGGCCTGGGTTTAATTCCCCAGTACCCTGGACCCTAAAATGAATTGTAGGAGAATGTGTGTAAATTGAAAGTCCCATTCTATCTTTTATAAAGGATTCAAACATCCGTAGACCAATCCTGTCTGAATACCAAGAAATGTCTATATTAAATCACTGTTTAACAGGAGGCTAAAGCCTGGTAGATCCACAATTACACAACCCTCTCTTTCTCCCTCCTCATTTGATCCAAGAGGAAAGTCAATTAGAAGAGTGTTAATGTTAGGGTGAATTTTTAAAACAAATTCTGGCTACGCTCACTTGTAATAATGTGACGGCGGTGGGGTATAGGGAGAGCTGGGGTTTTCCCTGGACCTTTAATTAAGAATGCTGTTTTGGTAGCTTTAATAGCCACGGTGCTACAGGGGCCACAGAAGGAGCTTATCAGCAGAAGCCAGCCTGACTACGGGTTTTGGCTAGAAGCTAAGCATCCCTTTGACAGGTGGTGGGTGGGGCACCCTTTGAAAATGTCAATCGGCTAGGTGAGTGTAGGTCTCATGATAGCTAAAGCTTCAGCATGACAGATCAGACCCATAAGCCATAGTGTGATTGAGTTAGCTATTGCAGTTGCAATGCTGTGTGTGAAGTCACACGGGGCACAGGTAAGTGAACTGTGACTAGACAGGCCTAGAAGAGGAACAAAGTGGGTGAATTCTTGATTCAGTGCTGGCAAACCTCCTACAAAAAGCCAGGTTCTAAGTGTTTGGGGCTTTGAGGTTCATATGCATCTATGTCACACGCTATTTGGTTTGGGGGAGTTTTGTTCAGTTATTTAAAAATGTAAAAACTGGTGGGCATACGAGTTCATGAATGTAATCCCAGCTCCGAGGAGACTCATACAGAAAGACTGCCATGTGTTCAAGACAGCTAGGCTGCAGAGTGAATTCCAGGCCAGCCTGGGTTACATTGTGAAATTCTGTCTGAAGACAGCAAATGAATGAATGAATACATTTTAGAAGGTACAACCAGACTCTTGTCATCAGTCGTATAAACACAGGATGTAGGGCTGGGGAGATGGCTTCGTTGGTAAAGCTTCCTTGCAAACACCAGGGCCAGAGTTTGTACGTATCCATTAAAAAATGCCAAGAGTATTGGCACAGGCTAGCAATTCCAGAAATGGGCGTATCCCTGGGGCTCCCTGGCCAGTCAGCCTAGCCTACTTGTTAACTTTTAGGCTAATAAGATATTGTCTCAAAAGAGAAAGGAAGGAAAGGGGAGCAAAGGAAGAAGAGGAGGATGGGTATGTGGCCCCTGGGGAATGACATACAGGTTGTAATTTGTCCCCTACACATATGTACACACATGCCATGAACATGCTTCCTTTCCCCCAGAATACACACACACACACACACACACACACACACACACACACACACACACACACAGTGCAGATTGTATGTGCTCCGTAATTGTAGTTTGCTAACTGTTGTGTGTAAAATATTTGACATTTACAATATCATTCAGTGCTTCCATGAAGACCCAAAACAAGAGATTTCACTGTCACCATCTGAATTTGCTGGCTGGTATGAAACTGAAATCTTGTCTTCTCTCTGT